CCGGAGGCCGGCTGTGGGCGAGCGGCCGCCCGCGCTGTGCTGCCGACCGACGTCTTCACAGGAGAAGCTGAGCCCGCGCAGCGGCTTCTCTGCGCTAACGCCGCCTGCCGTTGCCTCCGCAGCCTCATGATCGACCTGACCGAAGTGGAGAAGGAGCGCCTTCTGGACGAGGTAGGGCCTCCGGCCTCCTCGCGGCCAGCCGGGCCGCCGCCCTGGGCCTGCGTCTGAGGTCCTCCCGGGCCCAGGACTCGGTGGCTGCACGTGACACCGCGCTGGGGGCCCGCCGCAGGGCGCCCCTTGCCTCTGCCACCTTCCCGGCAGTGTCGGGACCTGTCCTGCGCGGGCAGGGCCCCGCGAGCCACGGCGCAGTTGGGGCACTTGCGAGGGGGGCGACTGGCCGCGGAAGCGTGACCCTGCTCGTCACAGCGCAGGCCTCGCTGCACCCCGCCACCCTTCCGGTGCCCGGCGGCACCCCGGGCCCACGCTCTCAGCACCGAGCGCTCGGGCTGCTCCGCTGGCTCTTGCGGCCTTTAACGCGCAACAGCTGCTCGGTGAGAGTGATGAGCGCGACAAACCTGCTGACCTGTGGGTACTTCCTCTTGCCCAGAAACCCTGTGACGGCCTCATGTGGGCGCCCTGGGGAGCAGGTGTGGCCTGGGGCGTGCGTGGGGAAGTGGCGGCCCCGGCCTCACCGCCGGGCTTGCGTGAGACGGCTCGGCGCGGCCGGGTACTGGCCGGGCGGCCGCCCTCGGGGGTCAGCTCCCTCCTGCTCTGGCCTCAGCACCGCGCCCTGCTGTCCACGCCCCTCATGGCCAGCAGCCGGGTCGTCGTAGACTGCTCTGCGTTTCCGATTCAGGAGCACGCTGGCTGAAGGTGAACGCTTTCTCCTCAGTGGTTCGCCCTGGACGAGGTCCCCAGAGGAAAGCTGCACCTGCGGCTGGAGTGGCTCACCCTGGCGCCCGACGCCTCCGGCCTGGACAAGGTACTGGGCGTCCTGGCCCCGCGTGACAGGGGCAGCGTCGGCGCTCCGGCTCATCTGCGTGGCTCCCCCGCTCTGCCGCCCTCGTGCGGCGGCTGCAGGCTCCGTCTGGGCCGGACGCCTGCTGAGGCCGCCCTCCCTTGCAGGTGCTGGCGGACATCCGCGCCGACAAAGACCAAGCCGCCGACGGGCTCTCCTCCTCGCTGCTCATCCTGTACCTGGACTCGGCCAGGAACCTCCCGGTGGGTGTTGCCGGGGCCGGCGGGGCGGGTGGGCCGCGCCCCACCGTCCCAGGTTGCTGTTTGCACGTTGCCTTCACTCGGGTGTTGCGTCACCTTTGTGCTGACGTTCTGTGACAGACCCCAGTGCGTGGGAGGACACGTTGTGTAGGAAGTCCCCGACGGTTAAGTCTAGGCCCCGTCGGCTGGCTCTAACGGGGCCCCTGGCCGACCCCTCCCGCAGCAGCGCCGGGGGCCAGGCTGGCGGGGGGCTGAGCCCGCAGTAGCGCCGGGGACCCGAGCGGGCGCGGCCGAGTGGCGGCCGGGCGTGGGCCTCTGAGCCCCGCTTGCCCCCTCACTTCGTCTCGCTGTCAGAGGCCAGTTGTGTTTTTTTTTAAAGATGTATTTATTATGCACACAGAACTGGGGTACAGGTCAGCGGTGTGGGGGTGAGAGGCAGAGCGGGGACAGAACAGGGGGATCCACTGAGACACACTGCTGAGGGGAGCGGGGCGGGGCAGGGCAGCAGGGTCTGCTGCTGGGGGTCCCTCCCTGGCGGGCGTCACACTCGCGCCACAGCTGGGTGCTGGCCCTTCCTCCGAGGAAGGTCTGACTGATTCTCAGGTCTTAAATCCCTCATTTCTCTCACTACTTTAGCTTTGGCCAGTCTTCCAGTCCGAGGTCTGTGGCGTTAGCTGTTAAATGTTAAATTTCTAATTTGGGGAAAATGGTTTGCACCCGGGACCTCTCTGCAGAGTTTCTTCTGCGGCAGAACTTTGCTCTTGGACCGCGCTGTACGCTAGTCTGCCGCAGGCCTCATGGATGGACTTGCTGTCCACGCCAGGGTGTAGAAGGTGCGGGCGGGCGGGCGAGAGCGGGTGGGCCTGGCACTGCGTTTGCCGCACCACGCTGGAGTTTGAACCGCGTCACATTAGCAAACAAATGGCCAAGTTTACACGCCAAGGGCGCCGTGTGCCGGCCCTGCCGGCCTGGGGTGCCCGGCCTCTGCCACCCCCCTTTCACTGCTGCCTCTGGTGAGCTCACTGACCGTCCCCCCGTTCTCTGCTCTCTCCCCCGGTTCCACTGCCTAAGAGCATCTACGAGGGAAGCTTTGGGTGTGGCTACTTAAAAGAGAGGCGAGCGTCGGGACTAGTGTTTTGCGAGAACACTGCCTCGGCCTGTAGCGCGCTCTTTGTGAGTTCTGCCGTTCTCTCGTGGCTCGCTGGGGTGTGCCGGCCAGTGCGTGTGGCGTGCGTGGCTGCCCTTCCTGCATGGGGTCCTGCGAGTGTGGCTTGCGCTTGTGCCCACGGCCCCGTTGCGTGGCTCCCACGTCACTGCCTGGCCCGAACGGCGCAGGCCGGGCGTCGCGGCCTGGCCTGAGCCCCACACCGCAGGCCTGTCCCGAGGGTAGAAAGTCTGAGGCACAAAAAGATGCCGTGACCATTAGAGTGGGTTTTCTCATGGTTCGTCTCCGTGTGAGACAGACGCATTTCTTAGTAAACTTTTAAAAATTCCGTAAATGCACTTTATCCTCCTGAGCAGCTGGAGAGAGCTGCGCCTGCCTTGCTCAGTGCTCAGAGCCCGCACGCGGACAGGGCTGCCCGGTGTCCCCTCGGTCCCCGCCAGGTGACCAGAGCGTGGGGGAACGCCCCGGCTGACGCTCCGCTCCCTGAAGCGGATCTGGCCCACGCCCCCACCCCCGCCCCACCCTCTGCCCCGCCTCAGCTCGGCTGTGTGGTCCTCGGCCTCGGAGACCCGCGCCTTTCAGGAGCTTCAGTTCCTGTCTCCGCATGCATTTTCAGTCTGGGAAGGCAAAAGTTAAGGAGTAGAATTTTGTCCCCTTTAGAGCTGGGGCGGGGCACCACCTGCCTCCTGCCCCCCTCGCCTCCAGGCCCTTCTCTCAGAGCGTTTCCAGGGTGGTTCTAGAGCAGGCGTGTCTGAGAGCGGCTGCCTCTCAGTGGCCAGCCACGCGCTTCCTTCCGTGCCCCAGCCAGCTTCCCGCCCACGTCCCGTACACGTGTCTGGCCCGCGGGCCGGCTGCTCCCCTCGGCGCTCCTGAGCCGAGCCAGCCCGGCCGCGTCCCAGATCTGTAGGCTACAGAGTGAAGGCGGGTGGGGCTTCCCCAGTTCTCCTGAGAGGCCGAGACCAGGGCCCACGGCCGCCTGTGAGGCTCCAGCTGCTGCCTGCTCGGGTCCCGCCCTTGCAGGGCCCTGGGTTCCTCACGCCTCCCGTCTGCACACGTGGCCGGCGTGAGGTGCGTCTGTGCCTCCCTACGGCTCCCTCAGCCCCATGGGAGAAGCGGGGCGGCCCCTCCCGCCTCCCACGGCCATTGGCCTGAGGGTGGGTGCAGTTGGGGGAGCGACTCCCCACCCCTGGCCTGTGCAGCTCCCACAACACACACGCGCTCCCATCCCCACCCCGCGCCTGCCCGCACCACCGCTCCCCACATGGGCCCATGCCGCACGCCCCCACGCCGGGTGCCACGCTGGGTCAGACGGGCAGCCGGCTGGCCCCTTGCCGTTCGGTCAGAAGGTCTTAGAGGCCGGCCACCGTTGGAAGCCGATTCCGACGGAAGCGTAGATGCTCATCCTTGAAGGAACTTGCAGGAGAGGGAGTAGTGAACCGGAAAAGAAAAGTTTGAAAATAGGACGTAAAACCCATCGTGGTAGAACTTTAAAGCCAGGAGGACGTTTGGGGATGGTCCAGTCAGCGTTCGCCTCTGTGCTCACAAAGCGGCTGAAGCAGGGAAGACCCGTCAGTGCCGGGGCGGAAGAGCCGGGGCAGCGTCCACCGCGGAGAGACCCTGCCCTTGCGGCCCAAGTGCCGGAGACGGCGGGGACGCGGCCGCGGCGCGGGCCCCGGGTGTGAGCACGCGTGTGGGGTGTGAGCACGTGTGTGGGTGTGAGCACGCGTGTGGGCGTGAGCACACGCGTGGGGTGTGAGCACGTGTGTGGGTGTAAACACGCGCGTGGGGTGTGAGCACGCATGTGGGCGTGAGCACGCGTGTGGGCGTGAGCACGCGTGTGGGTGTGTGGTCAGGTGGGCGCGTGGGATTTCTGTTGGCTTTGATGTGACTCTTGTTGGTGATTTTGGTTAAGCATTTTGTGTTCTCTTACGTTTTCATGTCATTAACCTTCCGTGAACTCCTCGTTGCATGTTGTATTAACCCTTGGAATGTTCATTTTCTTCTGACTTGAAAGAGTAACCCATTAGAGCTTAACCCTGATGTCTTGAAGAAGACTGCAGTTCAGAAAGCGTTCAAGGTAAACTCTTGCCCGCGAAGCGGAGAAGCTCATCGAGCCTATTGCGAGAGGTGATGCTCTGGTTCTCGGCTTCCGCCGCGGCTGGCCCCGTGCTGAGTCCGCGTCGTGTCCGGGGGAGAGGCCTGGGTGACTTGTGCCCTAAAAGCTACAAACTGCACAAGTCCCCCCATGACACTCTGCACCCCGGCCCTCGCCTCGGGGAGCGCAGGGGAGGTGCCTCGGGCCTGTGTGACTGGCTTGAGCTGGTGACAGCGGGGGCTGGAGGTCCTGGGAGGCTGACGGCCGCGGCCGGGGTCCCTCGCGCCGCGCTGCCGCCGGAACATCGCCTCTCCCAATACCGCCAGGGGGCCTCTGGGCGTCGGTGCTGCGGGGTGGGGGCAGGTCTTCAAGAAGCTTTAAATTTCATTCACGAGGTGTCTTGACCACTAAGCTCCGCTCCCTGAAACGGCATGGACGAGTATTTTCTGGATAAAGTGTTAAAGTCGCTACAGCCCCCGCGATGTCTTTGCACATTTGAGTCTTAAATATTCCAGGAGAAGGGAGTTTTGCTGTGGCCTTTATAAAATTCTACCCTCACATGCAGGAATTGTTTTTAATCCCGTCCATCCGGAAGAATCAGTTGAATTCACCAGCGAGGCTGACCGGTGCCAGGCCCGGCCGGTCCCGCAGGCCGTGCCCGGAGGCGGCCTCTTCACGTGGGGGCTGGGCGAGGAGTGAGCCCCCCCAGTGCTCCCCGGCGCATCCTGAGCCGACCCTGTGGGGTGTGGCCGTGCCCACGTGGGGCAGGCTCACAGGGCGACGGGCCGGGCTTGGCTCGGGACGGCGCATGGTCACGGCACATCGGTACTGGTGCCGGTGGACTGGATGTTGGGTCACAGTAGCAAGCGCAGGGACCGTACCCAGAGTCACCGTTGCGCACAGGCCACCACCCCCTGCGCCGCTGAGGAGAGCAGTGCCGGCTTGCGCCCAGCAGTGTTGATTTTGTACTTGCGGAAGGAGCCTGAACTCGGGCCCGCACGGCGTGTCCGTCAGGTGGCCCCTCGCGCCGGGGAGGCCGGCCAGGCGCCGGGCAGGCGGGGCGCGGCGGGACCGTCTCTGCCCCGAGCTTCAGGCTGCGGGCAGAGGTGCCACGCGGCCGAGATGCCTTCACGTCCCCACCGCAGTGACTTTCTGGGGTGAGCGGACCCCGTTTTCAGAGTGCAGCCCTCACCGTGTTCTCAGCCAGCAGCGGGCGTCCACACGGGGCAGCTCTGTGCAGGGGGTGCCGGGCCACTGTGGCAGGAGAGGCTGGACTGGGGGAGCCCTGTGCCCTGCTGGAGGAGCCCACCGCCGGTGGTTTTCATAGTGTTGCCTTCATTTTGCAGAATTATCCACGTCAAAAACATGAAGCAGAAAGTAGATTATTGCAGTCGGTGTGAGCGACGAGCAGTTGACCCCAGAAATGACAGGCTCCGGAGCTGGCCTCTGCCCTTGCCCGGAGGCGTCTGGCTAACGGCCTGGCGACCTGCCGATTCCCACTGGCAGACACTTGGGCGCATCCTCGGGGGGCTGACTTGGAGCCGCCCTCGGACGAGCGCCTGGCGCTGCTGCTTCGGGGGGCCGTGGCTGAAGGCCGCCGCCTGCCGTGATTCCTCATTCCTAAAATCCTCGTCCCTGCCTCGCTTACCATGATTCCACCCATCCGTTACTCTGCGGCCGGGAGCCAGACGTGCAGCCCCCGGGGCAGAGCGCAGCCAGCCTGGCACTTGGGGTGCCCTCTGGCCCGTCTGCGGTCCGCTCCCCACTCGCGGCCTCTGTCGATGTTGTTATCAAGCAAGATAAGTGTTGGGAGCTGGAATTAAGTGGAAAGACTTTCAAAGAAAGATTCAGTGTTTACAAAGCAGCTTGCTCTAAAAATCGCGTGAAGTAGAAATTGCCTTAGATTTCCCTGCGGGTGATCGTGGCTTCGGCACGCGCTGGCACCTGGGCTCCCGGGGCTGGCCAGAAGGCCGGCCCCCAGGCTTCAGGGCAGGGCGGGCGCCGTCGGTGTCACCGCAGCGAGTTTGAGCAGAGACCTCGCCTCGGACCTGTGTGTTCACCGCGTCCCTTTTGTTTCGGACAGTCGGGGAAGAAGGTGAACAGCACCCCGAACCCTCTTGTCCAGATGTCCGTGGGGCACAAGGCTCAGGAGAGCAAGGTACGGCGCGGCGCCAGCCGCCGGGCAGAGCTGCTTCTCAGGCGGCGGCAGAGAGCGCCGGTGCGAGGGCTTTGCCCGCCTTGGCGCTGCGGACCCCTGCCTGGTGCGGAGGGGGTGGCGCCCCGAGAGCCAGCTCCGCCTTGCGGGGCGCCTGGGGGCGGCGCGCTCGCCACCCTCGAGCCCCTCCGCCGCGGGCTGGCTGCAGCGCTCCCTGTCCCCTCAGATTCGGTACAAAACCAGCGAGCCGGTGTGGGAGGAGAACTTCACCTTCTTCATCCACAACCCCAGGCGCCAGGACCTCGAAGTCGAGGTAGGCGGCCTGCGTCCCGTCGGTGTGTCCAGGCAGACGCCGGGCCCTGACCGCCCCCGGGGATGGATGGCGGCCCCGCCCCGTCACCCCCAACCTGCTGACCCTGTCACCCCTCGGCCCCGCCCCGTCACCCCCCCCCCGCCCCGGCCTCGTGTCTGGGGAGTTCCTGGATCCCACTGCCCGGCTGCCCCGGCCAAGAGCCAGCTGTGGCCCTTTGATAGCTCCGGGCTTCGCCGCCGCCGCCCTCGAAGGGCCTCTGCCACTGGCCCCGGGTCGCCCACGGGGCTGCGGCCTTGCTGCCGGCGCCCGGCCCCCCGCCCCCCGCCGAGGCTCTGTGGCGCAGTGACCCCTCACACGCGGCAGAGCTGCCAGTGAAACCACCTCGCCTCCCCCCGTGGCCTGGGCCTGTCCAGCCTCCCCTTGGGTGGCCCCGGGTCAGGCGTGCTGAGGAGGCCGCCGGGCTGTCCCGGGTGGGCTGCTGAGACCGGCCTGCCCTGCGTGCCCCTCCCGTCCTGTCCACATCCTGGCTCTGCCCTTGCTGATGTCGGGCGTCTCTCCGGCCTTTCCTGGCCACAGGCGGGTGGCCTTGACTTCCTCGGCGCAGTGTCCACCTGCTGCCTCCTGTCCCCTGGGAGGCCTGTCGCAGTGGCGGTGGGTAGACGCGTGGGCGCTGCCAGCAGCCGGTGGGGTGTGCTCCACGCGCAGGCGTCGGGAGCTGGCTCATCGGCCCGGGGCGTCCCTGCCTGGGCGGGTCTGCTGGCCAGCGGCCTCGCCTGGGCTGAGCGCCCTGTCCGCGCCGCGCAGGTGAAGGACCAGCATCACCAGTGCTCCCTGGGGAGCCTGACCATCCCGCTCAGCCAGCTGCTCACCAGCGAGGACATGACCCTGAGCCAGCGCTTCCAGCTGAGTAACTCTGGCCCCGGCAGCTCCCTGAAGATGAAGATCGCCCTCAGGGTGGGTGCCCTGCAGGGGGGGGGGGGTGGCACCGGGCCTGGCGGTGCTCATTTGGGGCGGAGCCTGGTACGCTGGTCCCGCCCCGGCTCCCACAGAGGCGGCTGGCGGGAGGTGGGGGGGTTGGGGGGGTGTCCCCGGGCCCAGGAGCTGTTGCTGTAGCCCCAGGGCCCTCCTCCGGAGGTGACCTCTGCCAGAGGTGTGCAGGAGAAGGAACTTAAACCGCCAGAGCCACAGTGAGGCCCTGCAGGGGAAATGGCCTGAGCAGACAATATGCAGCGTAGGGTTAAGGGTCTGCTGAGAACAGAGCCCACAGCGTGAGGGCAGGGCGGCTGCTCTAAATGCGCACATCAAGGTAAAGCGCCAGCTTGCTGAGAGGCCAGGGCCTGTCCCTGGGCCGGGCCTGCTGGGGTGGGTGCAGAGGCGGTGTGAGACCCCCGGGCCGGGTCGAGGTGTCGCTGTGTCCTGCCCCCACCCAGGTGCTGCACCTGGAGAAGCAGGCCCGGGCGCCCGACCACCAGCACTCGGCGCAGGTGAAGCGGCCGGTCACGTCCAAAGACGGGAGGAGAGTGTCCGTGCGGTCCCAGGCGTCAGCGTCACCCGGCGCGGGCACAGCCCCGCCCACACCCGTCCTGGGGGCCGGCGAGCAGCCCCGCGCGGGCACAGCCCCGCCCCGCGCTCCG